GAGATGGAGTCTCACTCTGTCACTCAGGCTGGAGTGCTGTGGTACGATCTTGGCTCACTGCAACTTCTGCCTCCCAGGCTCAAGCGGTTCTCCTACCTCAGCCTCCCAAGTAGCTGGGACTACAGGCTTGCACCACCACGCCTGCTAATTTTTGTATTTTTAGTAGAGATGGGGTTTTACCATATTGGTCAGGCTGGTCTTGAACTCCTAACCTCATGATCCACCCACCTTGGCCTCCCAAAGCGCTGGGATTACAGGTGTGAGCCACCATGCCTGGCCAATTTTTAAATTTTTTATAGAGATGGAGTCTCCCTATGTTGCCCAGTCCAGTCTTGAACTTTTAGGCTCAAGTGATCTTCCTGCCCCAGCCTCCCAAAGTGCTGGTAGGTATTACAGATGTGAGCCAGTATACCCAGCAGCTATTTGCATTTAAGGCGTTTCCCTTAGCTGAACGAAAATTTGGTTTCTAGGGGATTGACTGTTCTGTTGGATCTGGGATGGTGGGATTCAGAACTATGCAGTGGTCCCAGAGCTTCATTTCCACACTTCCCAACATTTACCCCCTGGAATGGAACAGAGGAGAGGGGCACCAGTATCAGCTGTCTACCTGTTTGCTAATGGTGGAACATTATGGAGCTGTGGTCATCTCCCTCTTCTAACTCCAAATTTTAGACGTCACATCACCTAAGTCTCAGATCTCTATTTCCAGTGGAGACTCAGTATACCTTCCCTTAAGGAGTTGCAGTGCTAATGGGGGCACACAGAGCCTCTGCTCCCGGGATTACAGAAGAGCTTCATGCACTGGGGTTGGAGAAGACACAGAAATTTAGCCAGAGACTGAATTTAGAACATCAGAACATTGCTGCCCACATTAAGCATCTTTCTCAAAACAATGAACTCAGGGTGATAAACCTTGGGGTCTTTCATTTGGAAAGAGAAGTTTCCAAATGAAGAAAGTGGCCAGGCAATAAACCAATGGGTGAAAGAAGGACCCATTCAGTGTGTTCCACAAGGTCCAAAGATTAGAGACAGATGGAAGTTATGGGGAACCAATTTCCTCAGGTACAACCTAAGCATCTTCTAACAGAGCTGTCCAAAAGGCAAAGTATGGCTCTGAGAAGACAGAAGTCCTTGGCACCTGGCCCTCAGTCCCTGGCAGGGCCTGTGTTTGTTAAATTGCAAAAAGGCTGTGGGGACAGAGACTTGATGACATGGCCAGGTGGGTGTGGAGGGTTTGCTGCATAAGACATGGGAAGCAGGCCCTTCCTCACTCCTCATAGAGATAACAAGAGGTGAGCAAGGAAAATTGGGGGGTACTGCTAGTAACACCATGCAGGTCGAACCTGGAAACCAGTAGAAGGGCTGGGTAGGTGAAATTGGATCCTAGAAAGCTCGTGAGCTATAAGCAGGAGGGGGCAACCATGGACTTCTGGGGTGGTTGTATGTAGGAAGAACTAGGGAAGGAGGCAAGAGGGGCCAGGGAGGCTGCACAGTTGTGATAACAGTAGCATACCAGGGAAGGGGGAGGTTTGGGGAGCCGCTGCCTGAGGATAGCTCAGGTTGGGGGCTGAAGACCTCCGGGGACACAGATGGGAAGGGTTATATTAGCTGTCTAGAGTTAGGGTTTCCCAAAGCCCAGCCCTTTGGGGCCTCTGCTCTCCCCACTACCTGCCCCTGGCTCCCTGCACACTTGAGAAGTCATACAATTAGCCAAATAGTAGAAAAAATACTTTTTTATTAATTATTAGGAATAATCCATTCATGTAATGCAGGATGTATGTTGGAGAAGGTTAAGTACAGCCACATGAATGAGGGGAAACGTGCAAGAGAACAGTGGTGAGAAGGGGGATGTTCCCTCACTTTCCACAAACTATAAACAGTAACATGAACACGAACACAGAGAATCACAAATAAGAGGGTCTTTCCTCATGTCTCCTCTCACCCCATTCTTCCATAATGAGTCCCAGTGTGGTCCCTAGAGGTGCCAGGGCATCTGGAAGTTCTGGGCTGGGAGTGGGGTGCAGTGAGTGGCCTCAAAATTGTGCAGATGCTTCCGAGCCTGAGGAAAGGAGGTGGGATGGGAGGGGTACAGAGCACTGTAGGGAGGGGCAGCCACTGGACTCCCTCCCTATCCTCTGCCTCTGCACCCACTCTATAAAAGCTGCCACTTTCAATGACTATAGGGTATCCCCAGTCCCTAGTCCCCATATGTGAGCCCTGGCCATTCAGGAATCCTTCCCACTTCCCACTCCTTAGCTCACCAGAAATAAAGCCAGCTGCCGCCGTCCATCTGCACTCATGTCCTCCCCTGCGGAGAGGAGGTGCTCAAAACAGGCCACACCATCTGGGTATTCATCCCCTTCCTAGGCTCTTCCCATCCCCTCTCCTGCCCCAGGACCTCCTTACCCACGCTCCAGGGGAAGTCAGGCCCATGTTCTGCCTGGTAGGAGCGGAGGACGGACAGACACCAGTCCTCTTCCACCTCCCATCGGCTGTAAATTGAGGCTGGTTAGGGAAAGATGACAGCCAGTCAGCAACCTGACCTTGCTGGGTCCTGCCCCAAGCCTCACTGGATCCCTTCTCACCTTCTTCCAGCTGTGAGGAGGCCTCCAACCACTGCCTCACCACTTGAAGACCCTCCTCTGCCATCACTCGGGGATACCTATGGAGTAAGTGCCGAGACAGGTCAGGGCTGAGTTTTTTTCATTCCCTATCCCTGAACCTTCCTCCCTCCTATCCCTGTGCTGTGTGTACACTGCCCCCAGCGTGCACACACCCTGGCTCTCACCGATGCTGCAGGAGCTTCAGCAGGAGGTCATTGCCTCGGTTGGACATGATGTCCTCAGGAACCCTGGGGGTGAGAAGAATGTACCCTGGAGGGGCTGGAAGTTAGGAGGAAGAGTCTAGATACCTGGGTTTCTGGTGGGCAGAGGTGGGAGGGGCAAGTTCCTGGCCATCTCTGGGATTCGAGAGGGCAGAGGTTCCTAGGCACTCACGTAGTGGTGATGATCTCATCCTTGGTTCTCCGGATCAGCAGTACAGGACCCTGGTATCTTCAGAGAACAGAGCAGTGGGAAGGGAGAGCAGAGGAAGATAGGTGACAACTGGCCCACCCCCATCCCTGCACTGGTAGCATTCTTACCTCTTGCTACAGCACAGCCTGTGGCCTAGCCCTTCACTCAGGGGTGAGAGGGAATATTTAAGAATGGGCATGGTTCCGGCTGGGCGCCATGGCCCATGCCTGTAATCCCAGCACTTTGGGAGGCCGAGGCGGGTGGATCACCTGAGGTCAGGAGTTTGAGACCACCCTGGCCAACATGGAGAAACCCTGTCTCTACTAAAAAAAAATACAAAATCAGCTGGGTATGGTGGCACATGCTGGTAATCTCAGCTACTCAGCAGGCTGAGGCAGGAGAGTCACTTGAACCCGGGAGGGAGAGGTTGCAGTGAGCCGAGATTTCGCCATTGCACTTCAGCCTAGGCAACAAGAGTGAGACTCCATCTCAGGAAAAAAAAAAAAAAGAATGGGCACATGGGTCAAAGAATGGCCCTGCAGGGAGACCCCTGCTGTGCCAGGCCTTAACCCTTTGGTTGCCAAATCCTGGGGTGATCCAGGGTCCCAGGGCACATGGGAGGGGTTAGGCCAGTTGAGGTGGTGCAGCGTCACTCAGGGGATGTGGGCCAGTGGCCATTTACCGACTTGCACTTTAGTACTAATTTCAGTGTTTGAGCGCCCAGCAGAGCTGTATGGGGGGGCAGGTGTTTAATGCCGGACGCTGGCCGGCCCTCACCTGCACAGCTGCTCCGCGTTGTTTAGATTGAGATGTTGCCTCACAGTTCTGGTCACGAGGCCCCCTAGTGTGGGATAAAGGTGAAAGGATGGCAGAGACAAAGCCCTTGCCCTCCTGCTTCCAACAATGGGGCAACCTACTCTCCACCCAAGGAAAAGGGAACCATCTCAGTTAGAACAGTTCCCAATTCCAGCCCACCCCTTCCCTGGAAGGGCAGGCCGGGGAGCCGCACTCACTCCAGCTGTCTGGCATGACCTTCAAGGCCAAGGGCACCAGGTCATCAAAGGAGGCATCCAGGATCACGGCACTAACATCTGGGTAGGACATGGCTGCCCACGTGGCTGGTACCAGGGCAGGGAAGAAGAGTAAGAACTGAGAAAGGCTCCTTCCTCCCCACCACCTATGCTCTCATCCCACTGACGCTATAGGCCAACCCCATTCCCCCGACTACGTTATCCCTTTTTTCTTTTTTTTGAGACGGAGTCTTGCCCTGTTGCCCAGGCTGGAGTGCAATGGTGCGATCTCAGCTCACTGCAACCTCTGCCTCCAGGGTTTAAGCAATTCTCCTTCCTCAGTCTCCCGAGTAGCTACATGCCCAGCTAATTTTTGTATCTTTAGTAGGGACGGGTTTCATCATGTTGGCCAGCTGGTCTGGAACTCCTGATCTTGCGATCTGCCTGCCTCGGCCTCCCAAAATGTTGGGATTACAGGCGTAAGCCAACCGTGCCCGGTCCCCCTTGTTTTTTTCTTAACCTCCTTTACTCGGTCAGGGATCTATCTGGAGAGGGTGGAGATAGAACACTGGAGACAGTGTACTGAAGACAATGGGCAGGAAACAGTCACGTTCCCTGATCTCCCCACCCAGGACCTGGGTCTGCTTTTCCTTTTAATGACTGGGCAAAAGGGAAGGAAAGGTGAAGTGTATGTAAATAGGATAGCTTCTTCCAGGCCCACTCAGAAATTCTACTTCCTCTCTCTTCTTCCTTGAGCCTCCACCCACCTCAGGGCCACCAGTGCATTTTCCCACCTCTCCTGGGTGGGCATGAATGTGTCTATAGTGGGGGATGGGAGGGAGGCTGGTACCAGTGAAGCCGCCGATGGACCAGGCATAGATGATGATGTCCTGGGGCTGGAAGCCCAGGCGGTAGATGGCAAACTGGACCACCACATCCATAGCATTGGCCTCATTCTGCGGGAATGGCACCCCCTGCAGGAGGAAGGGCAAAGGCAGGAGTGTGTTACCACCAAAGGCCAGCTTACCTGTCCCTTCCAATGTGGACCCCTCCTACAGCCATCTGTGACAGACAGAGAAGGTGTAGAAGGAAGGGGTGGTAGGAGAGGCTGTTCTCTCCAGAAGACGGATGTGTACAATGAGATCCACCTCCTCCTCTCCTGCCAGCCCCCCACTGCACGGATGGGGGCATGGCTCCCAATGCTGCCTTCACAACCTCCTAGCCCCCGGCCCTCAGGTGAATGGGAGGCCCTTCAAGAAATCCAGAGCCCCTCTCCTCCCTCCAATGGCTGACCAGAGGGAGACAGACATAATTCAGGAAAAGGAAGGGATTCCTGAGATGGTCTCACCGTGCTTCCAGCAAAGCCTGGATGATTCCAGCCCAGGACTGAATATCCAGCTGTAACACAGGGGGAGGAGGAACTGAGACTTTGTGGCCCACACCCCTCTCTCCAGCCCTGGGGGAAGGAAGAGCAGAAGGACCCCCCAGCTTACAGGCAAATAACTCCAAGCCTTTCCAGAATAGGAGATGACACCAAAGGTTCTGAGGCAGCACAGGGAGAGGCATGTGATTGTGTGGGGTATGTGGTGGGGGAATGGAACAGAATGAAAAGCACAACAGTTAGGGACATAGGCCAGGGGAGGGATGTAGGGTTATCAAAGCAAATGGCAAGTGAATTTTTCCCTAAAGCTGAAAGACTCAAAACCTCATCCAGAGAAAAGTGGCGGCCAGGGGAGGTCAGATCAGTGTGGGAGGCAGGGACATTCCCTTCAAAGGGCAGAGATAAGGAGACTGAGTCACCATCTTACCTTCCAGGGGCGTGGAGACGCAGCCCACCTCATAGAACCCAGCATTCCCCTCACAGCAGATCACCTAGGAAGGAGGCCGGAAGGAAGGGCTCAGGGGCCAAGCTGGGACTGAAAAACTCCCTTTGGGTGGGGAGGGCAACCTCCCTTGGGTGGGAAGAGCTTTGCAGGGAAGAAGAAAGGGCAGGTTCCTGTTTTCTCCAAGGGGAGTAGAAGCTTCTCATTCCACAGGGTCCATAAGAGGAGAAGCAAAGGGATTACAAATACCCCTCAGAGGTTGAATTGCTCAACCACCCAGCCGTGTCCACTTTTCCTTGGAAGATTACCAGCTGGAACTCTCAGGAAAGGGACTATGGAGACGCTTTTCCTTTATAGTTTTTGGGTCTGTTATCTTCTGTGACCATTGCTCCTGTGTGGTATGCTGACTACTCTCCCTCGCTAGGCTCCAGTCTTATGGTCAGATAAACTCCAATGCCATGGTACCCCAGGCTAAAGTCCACGGATGGTGGGATTTGCATGAACTCTCATAGCAGATGGGCAGCACCAGGACTAGAACTCAGTTCCCTAGACTCCTGGCTTAGTGTTCTTTCCAGGGCTGCTTCCTGGAGGCAGGAGACTTTGAAGCCAGGCTGCCTGGGTTCAAATACCAGCTCTAACACTTACTGTGTGGTCAAGAAAGGTTTTCTGTGCCTTGGTTTCATTTCCTGTAAAATGGGCTAATATAAACAATACCTATCTCACGGGATTGTTGTGAGAATTAAATATATATACACTTCATATATATATGATGATTAAATAGATATAAGTGTGGAGTGCTATTTAATATTAGTTTTCGGTCCTTGAATGTCACCCCTACTTCATCTGTTTCTCTATCACAGGGTTTCACTACATCACAAGGTCTTTAGGGTAGAGCTAGGAGATGGGAGTATCCCCAGTAGTGGTTCCTGAGGGGAGGTGCTATAGCACTGGGGTCCCCAGACCTCTACTGCCTTCCTCACACTCACTCCACCTCTGGGCTCCCTGCTCCCTCTTACCAGCTTCTGTCCCTGGGGCTCAGCTGTCCCCCGCCGGTCCACAAACATGGTGTCAATCTCATTGCCATCACAGGCCAGCAGCTTTGCCCGGCGCCCGTTACACTGAGCAGGGGAGATGCAATGGCCAGGTTGCAAGGGGCAGGAGGCCACATCACAGGGATGGAGTGGGGTGGGATGGGGTGGGAAGGGAGGGCATTGGGGGATGAGTGGGCAGGGAAGCCTCACCTCTTCCACCAGTCGGGCCTGGCCCTGCAGCAGCACGGGCATGAGGGCCTTCTGGAGCAGGTACACAGAGCCTGGATACAGCATCCGGCGCCCCAGAGTGTGCGCCACCAGGTAGCTGTGGGGAACACAGGTTAACAAACCCTAACCCTGGTGGGGCCTGGGGACTGTGCTGGGGACCATCCCGGCCCTAGCACTCACAGACTGTAAGGCCTGCTTCGCCCCTGACCTTCACAGCTTTACTTTCCTCTTTCAAGCCTTAATGAAATATGTACCAGGCTGGTGTTTTTCAAACTCTTCTTACTGCAACCTTTGTAAGATAAACATTTTATATTGCGGCTCAGTGCATGCATATCCTGTATGTACAGGATTCTAAGAGATTTATGAGGAAACTTTTTATATATAATAAGTAAATGCAAAGTTATTATCATATCATGATTCTGTTAACATATAAGTACAACATATTAAAGGTCCCAAATAAATAATACTTTAAAAAGGGATGGTTATAATTCAAAACCTCAAATATAGCTTGCCTTCCTGACCAATTAGCGCACTGTCAACAACCAACCCTTAAGTCCACCCTGTTCCTTGGTATTCCAGAAGCTGCCTCCTAACTCCCAGCAATAGAAAATTCCCAGTGTCTGTTCCACTGTAAGATATAGGTGGTTATTTCCGTTCCTTCTGACATCATCAGTACCCACGACTGAGCTTTATTTGGGATTTTCCATGTGCTCTCAGGCACCCAGGCAAGGCAGGAGCCCTTCAGAACATGTTACCTTACTTAATCTCCTCAGCAACCCTGCAGGGCAGGTTCATCACAGGTGCAGACACCAAGGCGCACAGGGGCCAGGAGCCAAGGTAGAATAACAATGAGGCAGAGGGGCCACGATGGGTACGCAGATGCTACCAGAGCCTGCCCCAGCTACAGGTGTGTATCCTCTCTACCCCCACCCCACCCCTACTGCTCCTTCTCAGCCTCACTGAAGGAGCTTTTGTTCATATCCCAGTTCTTCATCTACTACATTTGAGACTCCAGACCTCTCGGCGCCTCTTTTCTTCAAACATTAATGTGGATAAAAACGACTTTGCCACAAATTATATATACAAAGCATACGACACTAGGCCCAATGAGTGACAGCTATTTTACAATGAAGTGCCTACTCCCACAGCCCTCCTGCCACGACCCCTCCACCCCAACGGGCCTCTCCTCCCTGTTGTTTCCCACCTGGTGATCTGACAAGGCAGCTTCTTAACCCGGTTGAGGAGGGTGTCTGCTGTCCCCCGGTGCAGGGGCTCTGGGCGAAGCAGGGCCACACCTCGGCGGGAAGGGCCCCCTCGAGACTCCTTCCTGAGGAAGGGAAAGATGCAGGGAAGGATGGGGTCAGGAGCAGCAAGCTGGTCGTCTGAGGTCTGGAGGACAGTGGGGGTCTAGGAACAGCAAAATGGCACTGGAAGCAGGCACTGTGATCTGAGAGGGCATGAAGGTAGGGGGACAGGGCAGGGCAGGGATTATCTGGGATGATTCCAAGGGGAGGGATAGAGCAAAAGAACTGGGGCCTCACCGGCTGCTGGGTTCTTCCCAGTGGAAGTCCACTGGCCAGCTCCGGAAGTCAAAGTTGTAGTTGGCAAGCTGCCTCTGCGGTGGGCATGCGATAAAGAGGGGAGGAAAGGGGGAACTGAGAACTCAGGGGACACCCTCCTACCCACCGTCAACAACACCTTCGTTATGCAGAGTTCTGATCCCCACACACCAGGGGAAACTAAGCAGAGGTCAAAACCCTCCCAATTCTCAGATGGAAATTTTTTTTTTTTTTTTGAGACAGGGTCTTGTTCTGTTACCCAGGTTGGAGTGCTATAGCATGATCTTGGCTCACCACAACCTCGGCCTCCTGGGTTCAAGTGATTTTCCTGACTCAGCATCCTAAGTAGCTGGGATAACAGGTGCCCGCCACCATGCCCAGCTAATTTTTGTATTTTTTAGTAGAGACAAGATTTCACCATGTTGGTCAGGTTGGTCTTAAACTCCTGACCTCAGGTGATCCACCCACCTCGGCCTCCCAAAGTGCTGGGATTACAGGCATGAGCCACTGTGCCTGGCTCAGATGGAAAATTCTAACAGGACCAGAAAGTCAGGCGAGATGGTGTGCCCAATCAGGTATCAGGACTGGCCTGTCTGCCCTCTTCCAAGCTGGGAACCTAACCTTCTGCTTTTCTAAAAATCTAAGTCTGACCCACCGCCAGGAGGAGTGGCTGAAGGTGCCAGTGCTTTTGAGTGAGGGGGTAGGGACCTGCTGGCTGGTCACAGTCTATTCCCCCACCTGGGTCCCTTATAGGGTGCTGCCTTGGAGGCTCAGAAATCTCCCAGCAGATCACACCAACAGACCCAAGGTTGAGTGAGACAGAGAGAAGGGAAGTCACGCCCACAGTGGGCTCTTCTACACGTGGGGCCACCCCTTGAAGAAGCTCTAACTTCCATCCTCACAACTACCTCCCTTCCCTCAACTCCTGCAGCCATGGGTCAGTGCTGCCCTATAGACCACCTGAGCCTTGGGTCACCTCACTGAGCCAGTCTGCATGCCCCCAACCTTTTTTTTTTTTTTTTTT